TGCAAATTGATGTTCTGGGCGACTGGCAGGTGGTTTTGCTGGTACGCCCTCGTGTGCTGCGGCTGGGGTTTCGTAGCTGTCTGAGGCCCATAGTGCTGCGTGTCCCCCTCGCAGCTGGAGGAGCGCTCGATCAGCTGTGCTCCTGAAGGCGCTGACGGTGCTGAGGGCTGCCTCGCTCCTGCTGGGCTCGGGGTGTCCATCCTGTTTTCCCTTCTCTCGCGCACTTCTACCGACCCTCTACGCCAAGTATCACCAACGTTTAGGCGACCCAAACCTTTAAATATTTGTCCACGTTAGCATTTTTATCGAATTACATGTCAAAGCGACGTCACTTGTGCTGGAAGATGGCAAGTTTAATAGCCACTAGTTTCACCGTGGACTGAAATACATGACGTGACAGCTACCAACTAATTATTAATTCTGATCTTCACTCCACATATTCCTTTCGCAAAATTATCTGCCTTATTTTTACATTTCGTATGGCGTAGATTAACGAATTTCTATGATAGCAACATCTCACTTAAAACAAGGAAATAGATTGGCGATGGAAACGGTGAAAATAATAGAAATGACAACTCTGGGTGAAGCGCGACTAACCATCCAATAACTAGCCAAATGTAAATAAATAATGCTTCAAATATTCCGCACTATATATATTCATAATTTTAGCCTTATCATATACCTAATAAATTATGAAGCCTTTTATTGGCTTTAAATACTTCTTATTCGCAAGAATTAGCATCTGCTTTACTGTCAGAAGGGTAGTCGACTCCAATATTGATTTCCTGTGTTAAAAAATAGCAAAACAAAAGCAACATAAATATGCAAACAGCTGGGAATGTTTGCATTACCCGTAGTTATTTTCAGTAACCCAGCATATGGTAGACATTCAATTATTCATTTGCACGTTATGTATTAGAAGATGAAAATACCACAATAAAAATAAACGCACATGCGTCCCAAAATCAGTCGGGTAAAGCGAAAGGAGGCGGAGAAGCTTTGTCTGAGGTAGGTGATCAAAACGCATATACGTAGAAGCCTGTTATTAACGTGGGATTATTTATGTGATAATACCTAATCGTAGATACATTTCGTGCGAAAACCATCTGTCATGTCATATGCACAAGGTAATAAAAGGGCGAAGCTAAAAATGATTGCTAGATCAGCTGATTGATCCGAAAAATAGTATTGGAACCCAGCTGGTGTTTGGCTTTGAAAAATCTTTAAATCCGGGTTACGGTTTCGTGACTGCGAATTGGATATGAATTGTTGTGCTGAGCTTTATCCTCATGATACCAACTGTTTGATAAATTAATTGTGCATTATAGAATAATGCGTATACGATTTTAATTGTTCTCCAAGACAACGAATGGAATGTAAATAAGGTGGCGTAAGTGGCGCCGTAACACAAGGCGTCTGTAACGGTGGTGTCCTGACGCAGCAGCAACCTTGTTTACCTGCGACGTAGTTCAACAAAGAGAATCTTACACCATGGAGAGTAAAAAGTAACCAAAATGTTGCGTTTGGGACTAGAGACTATATCTAAAATGCCCTGGTACTTCCCTTGGTCGGATGCCATCAAGAAAAGGGCAATAAGATATCTGTTACAAAGATACGTAGGACAGTTCCTGGAAGAAAAGCTGTCTCTGGATCAGCTGACAGTGGATTTGTACAATGGAACGGGAGCCATAAAGGAGTTGACTCTGGATGTGGCTGCCTTGAATGAGGTCGCTGATCAATTAAATCTTCCCGTAAAGTTTGTGGACGGTTATATTGGTGAAATATGTGTGTCTGTTCCATGGCATGCCCTCCTGTCGGAAAGTTGCTTTGTGGAAGTGTCTGGGCTTATGGTGACCATCGAGCCCAAACAAAGGTCAGAGGATGTATCTATGGTAGATTCCATGATCGAGTCTATGAGCATGACAACATCCATGCAAATTGCTCAGGAGTGCCTTAATCATCATGAAGAAGAGAGTGAAATGGAGGACCCAGTAGGAAAAGATTCTAGTCAGATGATTGAGGGCATTGAACATTTTGCACAGGCAATAGATACTGTACTTAATCGAATTAAGGTCCGCTTCCTTGACATAATCATCAGATTAGAACATACACCAAAAGGTAGTCAGTCAGGAGTATCCTTAGAAGTTCGGATCAAGAAAGTGGACTATTTTGACGAGGCAGGGCTTGGTAAAGGCACTCCAACTTCAGAATCATGTAGAGCAGGATATGAGCAGCCTGCCTTTGCTTCAAAGAAATTTCATATTGAAGGACTTACCATGTACACTGATGAATTTCCAGCTAAGAGTAAAACAATGACAAAGTCAGGAATTGTAGTAACATCAGATTCTAATTCATCACCAGAATCTGGTGGTTCCAAGGTGTCAGGAGACTCGTATAAGACGGCTGACACATCTCCAACAGAAGGTAAGGAATTTGAGTACAATCATGAGAATCATGAGAAAACTGTGAAGAAACTCATTACCAATGCAAGCATTCCAATGGAGCCTATTCTTTTTGCTAAACTAACTGGCTCCCAGGAAATCAGCTTAAAACTTAAACAAGCAGATGTAATGGGCCCAAAGGTAGATCTACGAATGAACTGTGGATCTCTTATAATGTTCCTCTCACCTAGGCAAATTCACTTACTAATGGAGTTATCAGAAGGCATAGCATCTCCAGATAAAATTGACCTTGACACACAAACTCCAGGCATGTTGAGGAACAAGCAGAAGCCAATGGATCCACATGATTATCGGAAAGTGGAGAGTGAGCTTCGGAAAGAACTTCGTTCAAATACTGTTGCAAGTCAGGCTCTTAATCTTCATCAGGGTTGGTCTGTGACACCATTAGAAGACAGTGATGATGAATTTGTACCCATGAGTAGTGGTCCAGGAATTATGAGAAATATGTCTAGTAGTCAGCTCTCAGGCTGCTCTGACATGGAAAGTTCTTTTGGCTCAAATATGTCAGGCAGCACTGTGAAGTCTGCTACTGTTGGAACCTCAACAACACCTTCCTTCCGCTACACAGGTGTGGGTGTCATGATGGGTGATCATGCAATAGGGGGGTCCACTAAAAAGAAAAGTGAACATGGTAGTAAACTCATGGATGATCCCTCTGCGGTAGTGACTCATTTTCGAGTTCAGGTCAGTAGCTTGGCAGCTGTTGTGCTTCATGAGGATATCTTGACGCCATCACTTGACAACTCAAACATGGTATCAAAAGCCTCAGTTGCAGAAATGCAGGCCAAGTCAGAAGACTTTTTTTCTGTTCTTGGTGTGCATGGATTATCAGGTTATAGCTATGGTGCATTCCATGAGGCCAAGCAAAAATTTGCTGATGCATGTCAGATTAATCATTTAAGATTTATGGCAGCTCCGTTAACAGTTGAAGGTAGTGAGAAGAGCCTTGCAAATAGATGGGAGATGAGTGTGAACATGTCACTTGGTTGTGCTGAAATTCTTGAGTGCCTTGTGGATTCGTCAGTATCTCCTGCAAAGATTGAATATTCTGAACTGCTTACTTTCAAGGAGACTTCAAAAGAACCAACCACCGAGGCTATTTATGGAGGTACTGTGGAACCAAAGCTTAGAGTGCAGATCTCACAGTCTCAAAATATGACTGCCATGGGGAGAACCAGGAGGATGAGTACACCCAAGCTAGATATCAAAGTTAATTTGGGTGATTGTGTGTCAGAGATTGATATGTCTATAGTAGATCGCATATCTGCACTAATCAATAGACAACAGGTTTGCACAAAGGCAGCAGAAGAAGCGTTCTCTCCAGAATTGCCCCCAAGTTACATAAATAATCAAGCTTGTTTCAAACAGACTTTAGATGATGCAACCCTTCACCCAGAGACACGTGTCCATGTCAAAGTATCTTCATCATCTCTAACAGTAAAGCTTAGATTTCCAATTCCTGATTTACGGCCCACCTCCAATATGGATAGGGTTCCTTGGTGGAAAAGAAATGTCAGAAAAGATATACTGTCTTTAGTATTGCAGGACTTTGAATTTGTTACTACCATAGATCCACACATACCCTATAGTTCCTATGAAGTACGTAGTGGTGACATCCATGTGCTTTTCCAAGAAAGAGAGGAAGATACACCAATATCCTTGGTGAGAGCAAGCTCAAGCAGAGGCTCAGAAAGAGGATTTGATCTCCCACGAGTTGTCATTATGTCGCATCCAACACAGCCATGGACATCACTGGAAGAAGAAGCCCCAAGACAAGAAAATATCATGGCAAAATCTATGATGGGATTTTTAGAGGAAGTTAGTGAGACAGAGCCCAGTCCTTTCAGTCGAAGGAAAGTTGCCTCCCAGCAGCCTGGTGATGGCCAAGCAGAAGAGCTTACCATCCCTGCAGAAAAGGAGGAAGTTTTAGAGTTCATGGAGAATACTTTAAAGAATGTGCAGCTGCACATAGATATTCACTTACCAGATGTCCAATTAATTTTGCCTTCTAAGCATATCTATGAAGTTGTGTATAACAGATTAGTGACTGACTTATTGCTTTGGGAGTCATCTGCTCCTAAGCCAGTAAGCCACACCACCCGTAATATAGGTGCTGCTCAAGGAGGTTTAGATTTGGCCTCAGTGTTTATGAATGAGAGTATATATCAAAGTACAACGCAGTTTACCATGTGCACTTCGTCCAATAATGATGGTAGTGATAGTGAAGAGGAAGGGGAATCCCAGTTTTATTCAGTGTATGAACACAAAGCAAGACAGCGACTGAAGCAACAGCAACAACAGGAACAAAATAAGAACAAGAAGCAAACTCTTATTGCATTTAAACTCACAATGGGCCATGCCGTTGCTAGTCTGAGAACTCCATACAGGGATGCAAAGAACTGTGTGCTACCAGGCCAGCATGGGGAGGTAATGCTTATTCTAGATCAAGGAACAATATTTGCAGCTGTAGGTTATCAAGGAAGCCCAAACCTTGGTTATACTTGTATTTGGTCAGAAAAGGCTTACATATATCACAAGGCTGCAAACATCACCCCTGATCGACCTGTTTTCCTCGATCCAGAAAATCCCCTCTCCACCTCCCGCTTGGATGCCATAGTTTACCCAAATGATCCAGGTGTTATAACTAAACTAGGGGCTGGAGTGATCAAGAATGAGGATTTCCAAGACCAAGTCAGTATAGCTTTGCAAATGGATTTTGACTTGACTCGAAACTTGAAAACCATCATCTTTTCCGGATGTGTTCGTGGGACCACTCTCCGCCACTACATGTGCACCAGCCCTGAGAGTTGGGTTACTCAGATGATGGATATGTTTGATGTCCAGGATTATCCTGTAGCTGGCTATGTGCTTCCTGATGTTGTCACTGAGATGAATTTCCATTTGTGGGGTTGTGCACTAGATTATCGTCCACTTCACTTGCCTTTGCGAACAGTTTTGACAGTTGATGCTTGCTCAATATCAAGCAATTTAACTATATCCAGTGACACGAATGTTCTTCATTTCATCATTGAAGATGCTGCCCTTTTCCTCTCTGACAAACTTTCTTTAAGAAGCGTTGATCTAAGAAAGGACTATATTTGCGTAGCAGATTTGGGAGTCTTTGAACTGTGTTTGCGGATGGTAGAAGATTTAAAGGAAAAGAAACCTAAAATTGACTTGGTTGCTTCCAATAATGTGATTCACATACGCACATGTGCTGATTCTTGTAAGTCCTTGTTAGAGCTTCTGATTTACTTAGCTAGTGATGGAGATCTGACACAAGAGGCATCGCTAACAACAGAGACAACTGTCATTCCTCCAGTTACAAGCCCAGTAAGTGTTGCATCATCACCATCAAGTGAATGTGCCACAATGAGACCATCAGAGATGCAAGAGACCATTTTCAACCCAAGGCACAAGGAAAATGATTCTCACCAACTTGAAATGGTGCGAGGGATGATGGATGATGCAATGATTGAGTCAACTCCTTCTACTTCATCATGTGAGGATGACGAAAATGATCCAAATCTTTACCTAAAGAAGGGCGTAGAGATGTTCTTCTTCCCAGATGACAATCTAAAACGGCTTGCAGCTGCTGCACAAGCCCCTCAGAAGGATGCACACAAGACTGAGGAAGTGATGCCAGTTGAAGGTGAACTCACAGACACAGAATCTGCACTTAAAGAAGCACTCAAAGAACCATCAGATAATCCATTTGAGGAATACAGTTCTGGGACAGATGAGGAATTCTGCATTCTTGATGATGCACCTGGCACGGGCATTAAGTCTCCATCTGGAGAACCACAAGTGAGGCTCTTGACTCAGGATCCCATTATTATTATGGATAACCACTTTTCTATTCCTCTGGGCAAAGTTGATCAACTAAAGGCACCAAAACATTTCCCTTCCGCTATAATGAAGTATACTCTTAAGGAATTGAGTGTTGTGTGGCACATATATGGTGGTTCAGATTTCAAGGCTGTTTCTCATGATGCCACAGCCAAGACAAGAAGAGTTACAATTAATGACTCAAATGGCAATCCAGAAAGTGGTAGTGGGGCATATTCATCAAATGTTCCATCACCAAAATTAAGCTATGTCTCAGTTGAGCCCTCAGTGACAATGCGGGCTGGAGAAGTGCAATTTTCATCAGGTCATACCTCACCAAATATGTTTAAGAAATCTCCGCCTCAGAGCCCACAGCAGCGAAGTCATATGGTATGGCAAGCAGCAGGAGGGCCTGGCAGAAAACATGACACACTTCTAGAATTACAACTCAGCAAGGTTCGGTTCCAGCATGAGATCTATCCTGAGAGTGCCCAGCAGGCAACAAGAAATGTGCTTCTGATTCACGATGTGGAGATCAGGGATCGTCTTGTGTCCTCCAAAATCAACAAATTCCTATATCAGTTCTCTTCTGAAACGTGTCCACGACAAGCTCATGCAAATATGGTACAAGTGAAAGCTCTCACTACCAGACCTGATGGTCAGCATGGTCCTCAAGAAACCAGTCTCAAGATATCACTACAGCCTATCAGACTACATATAGATCAAGATGCTCTTCTTTTCCTGTTCCAATTCTTTGAAGAACTTTTAGCCTCAGATATGGATGGAGAAATTGGAGAAGAAGAGAGACCACAGTCCACAACTCAAGTTCAAGCACCCATTATGACTGTAAACCTTAATCAAGCTGCTCAACTTAACTTGGCTGAAGATCAGCAACTTCTTGTGAATTTAGAAGAAAAGTCCCCTGTGTCAGAAGCTGAAGAAGAGTACAGTAGAATGGATGAGAATGCTCCTCCATATTTCAAATCATTTATTTTCTCACCAGATGTGCCAATCAAAATAGATTACCATGGAAAACATGTTGATATTAATTCACAGTATGGCCCAGTTGCAGGACTCCTCATAGGACTTGGGCAACTTAACCAATCTGAGATTACATTGAAGAGCATTGTTCATAAATCCGGTCTTTTGGGTATGGACAAATTGATACATTATATCAGCAGTGAATGGATGAATGATATAAGACGTAATCAGCTGCCATCAGTCCTGGGGGGTGTTGGCCCCATGCACTCTGTAAGCAAGTTGGTTGGAGGTGTTAGGGATTTGTTCCTATTGCCCATTGAACAGTACCAGAAAGATGGGCGGGTGATGCGTGGGCTCCAGAGAGGAACTTCTGCATTCACGACTTCATCAGCTCATGCTGCTCTTGATTTAACTGGAAGGTTTGTTGGATGCATTCAGTCAGCAGCAGAGACAATGTATGACATGGTTTCATCTGGACCAAGTGTGCGTCACAGATACAGAATTCGTGGTGGACAACCACAAGACATTCGTGAAGGGGTCACGACAGCTTATAGTTTGGTTCGTGAGGGCATTGGCGATACTGCCACAGCAATAGTACAAGCAGCTTCACAGGAACATCAACACAAGGGTGTGTCTGGTGCAATTGGAGGAGTTTTGAGGCAGATCCCTCCTTCCATGGTGCAGCCAATCATCTTAGCATCTGAGGCAGCTGGCACAGTATTAGGTGGGATGAAGAATCAACTTGTACCTGATGCTCGCAAAGAAGCTGCTGATAAGTGGAAAGCATAAGGAACAGTGACATAAATTGTTAAAGGCAGTCAGCAAGTTGCATATTGTAAAAAGAGATACACTACCACTTGTAAATCCTTTAGCATTTCCTGTCATTGTTGCCAGTGTAACAGGGTTGATTGTTTCATTACTACTGTGATCATTATATTAGATCTATAAGTGCAGACAGGTGTGTTAAATCTGGAAAAATGGTGTGTGTGTGTGTGTGATTCCTAATCCTTCTGAGGTATGTTCCAAAATGGAGGATTGTGAAGATTGTGCCTCACTTTGTTTTAGTCAAATAAATTTTGGTTGGATGGTGTTACTTGTGATACTGTGGATAGGATCCAAGAAGTGAACTCTGCAGATAGTTTTAAGATAAAGAAATCATGTTATTTTTTCCTCACTGACAAGCACATGGATTATTGTTGATTTGTATATCCCAGCCTTTATTCCAAAATAAGAAAAATGCACAGCTTACAATTTGTCAGAGTCTGGTTAGGAAATATGCAAAACTTTGATATTTTTTTCTGCTACAATCTGTGAAAATGAACCTAAGACATATTGGTATGTAATGTTAGGAAACCAAAGAAGTATATATTTTTTGTAGTATTGTAAGGTGCTAAAACTGCTCTCTGTAACCTGAAACCTGTTGCTTAAAATATAAATAGGAATCTTAAAAAAAATGTTTTATAGAAACACCTAGTCTGAAGCTATTATGATGTTATACAAATAGTTCAAATAGAGATTTTTTGTATGGTTTAAACTGAAGACAGAAGAGCTGAAGCAACAGAAGCTGAAAGTATGACATGTAAGTACATTTATTTAAACCAAATAGTGTAAGTTAACTTAATCTAGACTTATTTAAGAAAATTACTCTTTTTCTCAAGAGTCCCATTGATTCATTCACATTCTAAGAAACAATCATGATTTGGATAATGTTGAAGTGTCAGTGTAATTTCTATTGCTTTTATTCTAAGCATGATTAAAGCCCTAGTTTTCAGCTTGCTTGGTACTAAATCCATATTTTTCCTCAGGTGCTAGAGCAAGATGTCCCTCCGCTTGATAAGCACTGCCTCACTCAGGACTCTGTGTCGAAGATGCCCCTGCAGGATCAAGGATCCCCGGCTCTCATTTTACATGCCAACAGCTCAAAGGTATGAATTGTTAGTTTCCTTTGATGCCTTATTTTTTATATATTGATTCAAATTCGTATAAATGGAGCTGCTGTTTTATTTACCTGGGCTGTATCTTACATTTATTTCATTTTCAGTCTCCACACATCACCCTTCGTAACACAGCAGGAGGGCAATGCTATGAATGTGTTTGATCGTCAAGCCAAACTTTTGCAAAGAGAAAGAGCTGCAAGGAATCCAGATGTTGCTGTTTTTGATTACTTGAAAGAGGAAGTAAGTATTAAAAGATACTTGATCAGAAATTATGTAAAACAATCTAGGAAATCCTCTTCATCAAAAGTATGTACACATACCTGTTGGTATGTGAAACATTTATATGCCGTTATAATTTTTTTTTTTTATATGTTATATAGATATATACAACCACCTTCACCTCCAGGTTCACAGTTCAACAATGCTCGTGTGTGAACAGCTAGTTAGGACACATACCAATACAAGTAAGGGGTATATGTTTCAGAGGCAAGAGTTGATAGAAACTGGTAGTTCATAGAGTTGCAACAGTTATGAACTTGGATGTGGAACGGACTGTAACATATACAGTGTATCACAGAGAAACGATAGATTAAGTCTTAATTAATTTCCAATTGGTCATTTTACCTTGAGAGATAGAACACATAGCATCATGTCTCCAAGATTACTGCTCCAGTTTCTAGTATTAAATTTTTGATAATTATGTCTCATAATTTAGCAAGGATGTTATTATTCTACTCATTTTATGCTGTATTATGAAAGTTAAGAGATTTTCCCTTTTTAAAATAATGCAAAATGTCTAGAATTTATTAGAAAATTGGTTTAGATTTACAATATGTTAATCTTTTGGCATTTCAGTGATTAAAAGAAAGATAAGATTTAACAGGAAACCTGCACTGAGTTGTTGTTATATCCATCTTATTTTATCATATATTTCAGAGATCATAAATTATTACCTGTGTTCATCATATTCAGTGAAATCCTTATTATTTTCAGGTTGGTTATCGTTTAGCTGACCGCATCAACGACATAAAACGGGAGTTTAAGACTGGTCTAGATCTTGGAACAGGTCGAGGATATGTTGCCAAGAACGTAACAGATGTGAGTATTGAATAAATTTGTTACTTTTTGTCATGGGGATATTCATTTAGTTTTCTTTTCATTTTAGGACTTCTAAGTAGCTGGTAATTCATTTTCATAACCTATATGCTTATTAAGGAAGAGAATGAGACTTTGTGAAATAAATGGAATTCAGAGATAAAAATTATCGCATTCTTCTTATCCCTTAGGCTTCATTAGAGGAGCTGTACATGAGTGATTTGTCGCCATCAATGCTGGAATCGGCAGAAACCCCTCAGGATGTGAAGTTTACAAAGATGGTGATCGATGAAGAAAGAAAGTTTCCATTCGAAAATAAAGCACTCGATCTCGTTATATCGAATTTGAAGTAAGTATTTTCATGCTTAAATGTAGGTTATGGAACTTTGATATTTGCTTTTTTAAACTCATTTTTGTTTTTTCCTTTTCTCTCTCTTTTTACTACTTGTTTGAGCTGTTCCTCCCATTTTTCTTGCCCATAGATTTGTAATGCCAAAATTTCTTGATTTAGGAAGAGGGGAAAACCAAAAGATATAAGTAACGATAGGCTTCTAAACATTCTGAAGTATTAAGGTACAATTATGCTAGGACTTGCTGGAATTTCTAATCTAAACTTTTTATAGAAGTTGGTTTTATTTACATATATTAACTTTTCTTTCATTGTTTTCAAGTTATTATAACTTTTAAGAATTCGTTTTATTGCCAGTAGTAAATATCTTCCGCAAATAGGTGCAGGTGTTCGTTATTTTGGTTAGGATCGTTGCATCAATTTTGAAGAATGTTCACAGCATCATAATCATCCGAAGATGCTACAGAAGGGAATTCAAATCTTTTAAGACTGTTTAAAGACATAGGAAAACAGGGACACAAGTATTGGTCATTTAAACATTTAAAATCACATTGTTTAATGTGTGCTGTTAGAAACTTAAGTAGTTCATTTTCAATTATTTTTTTCTATAATCATCATAGTAGTCCTCATTGTTTTAGCAGCATATAGATTATTACTATTACCAGGATCGAGATGATAATGATAGTGATATTGATGATATTAACCACTTGCCATCAGGGATGGCATGTGCATACATGCCATGCCCACTGTGCATTTTATTTAGTAATCACAAATCACCAGTGAGCCAATTACAAGAACTACCTATCTCACCTGTTTACCCTTTTCCTTGTTTTTCGATGATGTTTTCTAGCATTTAATATTTAATATAATGTCAATAACAATATATTAATTATATGTTTATAACAAAAACACCAGCTTCAATATTGATAGCATTAGTGAAAAGCGTTTTTCCGCTGTTTCAAGGAAAGGTGAAGTCACGCGATCTACTAATTGACTCCTTTGTGGCTAAGCACTGGCAGTGCCATGTATCTAGAGAAACATTTAAACAAAACAGTACGAAAGTGAACGCAACATTTTCCCGTCAGCATTGGGTTAAGCACCATTTTTGTCATTGTTATATTTTTTTATTGAAAGTGCTACTCTAATTTCCATTGTAGAATTCAGGGATATATAATCCTGCTTGGTAGTTAACCTTCAAAATTGTCATGATCAATCCTGTAGTTAATTTTTAGTCAATTCTTTGCATATTTATTAATTTAAATGCTGAATTACTTATATTTTTGCAGACTTCTATAACTAATAAACACCTCTAACTCGTGTTTCAAGTGATATGTGTCCTTTATAGTGTTGAGACATACGGTCCTATTGAGAGCATTTCATTGTCAGTGAATATTGAAAAATGCTTGCAAGAGGAGAGTTTATCTCCTATGTATATTTTTCACTGACACCACATGTGGAAATGTTTGTGTTTGTTTATAATAAGTTAGTTGGGTGCATTAGTTTACTTAGTAGAAGGCTGCAGCTGTGTTGTACGTCAGTAAATAAGTTAGACGCAGATGATTATATCTTTCGAATGGTTGCTTGCATAAATGATGAGTTGAATATGAATATTTTTTTTCAGTTTCAATATTGATTTAGGATTATGATTACCAAGTAAATATGAAATTTCAAAAATGATTGGAACTATAATTATAATAATTTAGGAGATGAGTTGCCAAGTAGTACAGCATTTCCTGCTATGAATTGTACTCTTATTATCATAATTATCATCAATATCATTATGAATGTCATTTTTAGTTACTGTTTTATCATTGTCAATGTTGTTACTGTTGTTTTATTATTGTTATATATTATTTTCATATTTACTTTTTTATTTTTTTTTTTTTTTTTACTCTTTATAAACGTATTCATGTGTTTATTCGTTCTTACCTTCGTTGTTCCTGTTGAATTTTGTTCGATATGAATTCCACATCTCTGTGTGTGTGTGTGTGTGTGTGTCTGTCTTCTGTCTATCTGTCTGTCTGTCTGTCTGTCTCTATGTATGTGTATGGGTGGGTGGGTATGTATGTATGTATACATTCATATGTATGGATTGATATATATATATATATATATATATATATATATAATATATATATATATATATATATATATATGCATATATATGTATATATATGTATATATATGTATATATATATATATATATATATATATATATATATATATATAATATATAATATATATATATATATATATATATATATATATATATATATATATATATATATATATATATATATATATATATATATATATATATATATATATATATATATATATATATATGTATATGTATATTATATTATATAGATATATGTCTGTATATTTCTATTTTTAGAACCAGAGTGATTAATCATGCACAAATTGATACATTATCATGAGCTAATAATTTTAATCATCGTTTCAGTCTTCACTGGGTGAACAATTTGCCGGGTTGCCTCAAGGAAATCTATCGAGTGTTGGGAGAAGACGGCGTGTTCCTGGCATCGGTGTTTGGGGGAGACACTTTGTATGAACTGCGCTCATCTCTGGTACTGGCCGAACTGGAGAGAGAAGGCGTAAGTTACTTTTGAGATTTCATATATAATCTCTTCTTTTGCAGTTATTTTCAAGATTTTTCGTGTCTAGAAATGTTTCGCTTTAGTTTTTTCAGTAAAGCCTTTGTGTTTGGCGAGCGATTGGTATTGAAAAAAAAGCTTGTGAAATATGAATTTGCTAAATGCATATAATTAGAATAGGAGAAAAAATCCAGTCTCCATGCATTTTTTCATAATGATGTGTAGTTAAGGGTAGTAAATGAAGAGATTAATTTGACTATAATCCTTTCCTTGATTATAATGAGAGGGAGATTATCACTAACAGTTCAGGAGACTGTGTTAATTGAATTTTGGTGATAATATGGTCAACAAATGTGATTTTTGGCAAATGTGATGTGTGGTTGCCGTTGGTAAAAAGTTTTGAAATGCGAACTTGTCAAAAGTGGGGCTTTGCTATAGTTATTTGAAACTTTACGTGCGTATAGAAAATTTTAAGGCCAATTTCTTATGTTGTTACTCTCAAGATTTGAAACTTTACGTGCGTATAGAAAATTTTAAGGCCAATTTTTTTTTTTTTCTTTCATTTTCTCTTACTTCTTTCCTTTCCTTTTCTTTCTTTTTTGTCCCCCTTTTCCTTCTTCCTATTCTTTGAATTCTGGGGAGAGGAATCGGAGCAGTTGAATTGGCAGGTAAATTAGGAATTGTGTGTGAAAACGTTTTTTGATGGATGAACATACAATAGATACTGATATTTCATGCACATTGGTAATAGAGCGAGAGAAGTCTGCTTGCATGTAAATGAAGCAACTGAATTTGCAGGGAAATAGATGCATTTGGAAGAGCCACTTGATAAATGTATGAATGAATAAAGATGGTGAGAAGGCAGCATACTTATATATATACTGTTATGTTTTTAAGGGTAAGCCGTCAGAGATGGGAACTGATTTGCTAACTTGGCCCCTGGGTGGGTAGTGCTGCCTACTGCATGCCACCCATGTGCTGTCTGTTAAAGTGATATGGAATGTATATGAAAAATAGTATGATATGCTTTGCATAGAATTGGCAATGTAATGTTTGTTATTAAATATAATATAAACTAATATATAGTTCAGTAGAAGACCATAGTTATATTCATCTCTTATACATGAACCTGGTCACTCTCTTATGCATTAACCCAGGGCATTAGGCTTACTTGAGTGGAAGACCATAGTTATATTCATCTCTTATACATGAACCTGGTCACTCTCATAGGTGTGTGGCTTGTAGACAGGCACACAGGGCCACTCATGTGATACAATTATATATTTTTATGCATAAGTGTTTTTTGCCATTTTCCATTGTCTTATTTTGTCATTTGATATGCTGTATCAAGATGATAGACTGACTTTATTGTATAGACTCCATATCATCTCTCTAGGTAGTTCATGACTGAGTGCACTAATAATAGCAGTAAAAAATATTTTGTAATTTTTAAATACAATCATAGTTGGCAGGAATAGGATCCTGATCATGGAAACACTATCTTCCCTGGAGCCAGCACTCTACCAGTCATGGCTCATGGATAGTACATTCCACACTTGTTTACTAACAGAATAATGCAAGAGCGTGTGGGTGGTGTGGTGTTGTGTGCGCCATGCCCACTGTGAGTTTAGTTTATTCATGTCTTTACGCATAGATGGCTCCACAAGTGTTAAGTTGCCAAGGAATCAGTTATTGCTATTACTACCTATTTTGCCTGTTTACCCTTTTTCTTAATTGTTGGAAATATTCTCTTTCATCTAACATTGTTATTAGTAATGGTAAAAATAAAATTATGATAATTATAATGTTTTTAATGATCATATCAGCATGTATGTTAATAGCATTAGTAAAAGAGATCTACTAAATGATGCTTTGGTGGCTGAGCACTTGTGGAGCCATATATATGTGAAGACATTTCATAAACAAAACTACAGTGAACATTACATTTTCCCACCAGTGTTAGTTTAAAAGTGACTACAGAATGATGCTACTTGTCAAAAAAGATAGAGACAGAAGGAAAACTGTGATGTAAGTTTGAAGATTTATGGTCTCTTCTCTCTCGCAGGGATTTTCTGCACATGTGTCACCCTTTGCTGAGATACGGGATATTGGCAGCCTCCTCAACCAGAGTGGGTTCACCATGCTCACAATTGTAAGTGGATCATTTCTATCAATTGTAATTATTCATATGTTATATATATCCATTTATCAGTAACATTTTCATAATCTTGGTAGCACTGAAAAAAATTCAAAATATGAACAAAATCCTGGAGATGAGCATAGCATTGCGTATGTTTTGCAGTACTGCAGTATTGCTGTTCATTCTTATGGTAAAAAAGGAGTGCTAAAATTGAATAATATCAATGTACATTTAAGTTTTGAATACGTAGCAAACTTTGCTTAGGTTTTGAATATGCAGCATATCTTGCTGAATAACAATTTAGTTTTATTACATTTATGTGGCAAACCTTTATTTATCATTTTATATTTTTTTAGGACACAGATGAGATTTCTGTTGGTTTCCCATCCATGTTTGAACTGATGTGGGACCTTCAAGGGATGGCAGAAAATAATGCTGGTATCAACCGCAAACCCCATCTCCACAGGGACACGCTGCTTGCAGCTAGTGCCATTTATCAAGGTATTTTCTTATTTTTATTTCCATTTATTTAAAGAAAGAGAAGTGAACAGTGCCTAGGAAATGAATGATGATAAAGCAGTTCAGTTTGGTCATATATTAATTTCCAGGATTTTTTTATTCCTTTTCTAGAAATGTATGGGAATGAAAACGGGATTCCAGCAACATTTCAGATTATCTATATGATAGGATGGAAGCCGGACCCAAAACAGGTATGATGGACTTCAGAAGATATTTTTTTGATTCACTGCATAAGATCATGTTTTTTAATTGAATATGTCCTAAATCTTGAATTGGCATAATTAACTAAGTTAACTAATTGACTGTGTGGATGATCAGTGTAGTTCTTTACTATTATATTATAGAATTATTTCCTGTAATATAAGAATGTAGTTTACTATTATATTGTAGAATGATGCTACTAATTGAATATGTCCTAAATCTTGAATTGGCATAATTAACTAAGTTAACTAATTGACTGTGTGGATGATCAGTGTAGTTCTTTACTATTATATTATAGAATGATGCTAATCTGAAAATTTTCTCGGAATTTCACTTTTGTTCAAGGTTTTACAACATTAGACCTATTTTTAATACAAAAAGCTCAATATTTATTGTACCTTTTCCTGTATTTTGTGAACTTCTACCTCAGATGGGCACCCAAGCTGAGCGAGGCAGTGGTCAAGTTTCTCTCAAGGACTTGCACAAGTTGGATGACATGATCCGAGAGGCAGGAATGGAGGGCAGAATTAAGTTCATGCAAGATATGACTTCAGACAACAAAGACAAGAAAGATTAGAATGCGGAACCAAATCTCAGAAAATAAATAGTAATGCTGATGGAAGAATTGCTCTTGATGTTGTGAAAAGAAAAGAAAAAAGTGAAAGAGGAAGGGCATGATTTTCTAAAGTTTAAAGAGTTTAGATTCTGTTATTGCACTACAATGTTACACATATTTATGGATCACCTGTGATGAGCAAAGGTTTGCAAGTAAAGAGAGTTGAGCATTATATCAACTTACATATATACCATGTGGTTAGCACATCCTCAACATAAATCAGCCCTTTTACATTTGCACATACAGGCAGTTTAAGGCTACAGTTTCATTTAGAACTTATTATCCATTTGAAATAGATTTTCCTATAGTTCATGAAGTGATAGTGTTTATCATGAGTTGACAAATTTAAATTTTATTTTTAAGAGAGATGGAAAAGGCAAATCTTTCTAACCAGACTTCTGGATAGCTGTGCTGTCCCCATTTTCCTACACTCACTTAATTGAGCAATACTCTGGGTGTGGAGAATGTCCATAATGCTTTAAATATAGTCCTGTTTTGTGTAGTGAGTAGATTTTATATGAAGAGTTGCTGCAAAATGTGCAATGGTTGTACAAGCAAATGTATATATATTTCAAACTTTAATTTCTTGCCTATAAAGGTGAACTTTCATAGAAGAATTTATTTGGTCATGCTAAAATCTTTAAAGTTTTTAGAATTAGTAAAACTTATATAGCCCCAAAATATACAAGTTATTACAGTTGCACAAGATAAGAAATTATTACAGAATAATTATATCCTAGTGCCTCCTCATTCA